ACGCTGGTAACGCTGCGGCCACTTGGTGCGGGCCTCATCGGCGGGGACGGGGGCTTGCCGAGGAACTCGGGCTCCTTGTCGCCGGCGGCCACGTTCCTGGCCTTCTTGGTCGCCTGCGCTATGCGCCTCTTGGCCGCCGCCGCCGCCGCCGCGTGCCCCAACTCCTTTTGCTGCTCCCTGGAGGTAGCCATCTCGTCCTCCTCCCCGAGCGCCAGCTCCTCCGAGCGCCGAGCTCCTTCACGCACACCTCGTCCTCCGCCACCTGCTTCTCCTCCACCTTTGCCTTCTTCTCCCTCGGCGCCTTGGTGGTCTTCTGCTGCTTCTTGCCCGCCGCTGCCTTGGGCGTCGATCTAGGCGGCTCGGGCTCTGACTCGGCCGCGGAGGGAGTGGGAGTGGCAACCCGTCTCGGCTCGACGTCCTGGTCCTCCTTCTGCCGAGCGCCAAGGACGATGAGAGGCAATTAGAGAGGGCACAGAGCAGCGACTCGAGATCGGGGGAAAGGCGTTCCTCATGGTGAATCGGACGTGGCTCACCTCGAGGTCCTCGTCATCTCTGCAGCCCATGCTCGAGGAATTCGGTGTTCACCTGTGCCGACATGCATGGTGGCGGATGCGCGAGCTTGACTGAGGAGCGATGGCGCGGAGCAGCAGCGGCTGCGGTGCTTCTCGGAGGGCGGCGGCGACGCGAGGGGAGGCAACGAAGAGGAGAGGGGGCGGCGGCGTTAACGCGAGGGAGAGACCCAGCCCTAGAGAAGGGGACGAACGGGAGGATGAAGAGGCAAGGCAGCCGCGGCTCTCGCCTCATCCACTGACGGGCCAACCAGCGACGACCACGCAACGGGGCAGCACGTGAAAAGACGATATCGCCCTCAGCGGGGCTCCCAAATCACGGCGGTGGTAGGAGATATTTACCTCTCTCTTCCAGAAACCAATCAATGGCCGACACGTAACGGACCAGGACACGAAATGTCAAAAACACCCTCGTCGAAAACTGGGAATTACGCGCGGTGGCAGCCCGGGTTGTATACTGTTTTGATCTACAGTTCCTTTTTTGATCCGACGGCTGCGGTCTTCCAGGAAGGAGATCGGACGGCCAGGAACGCATCAAGGGCCAGATCCAACGGCCAGGAAACGCTAAACTCCAAGGAGGCTGGGGGTCTCCCAGTATGCATCTTTCTGGATATAAACGGTTCCCAAGTACTATGATCTTGGTTAGTCCATCAGTTATATTATATATAGACCATGCCGGCGCGCGTTGCTGCACCCGTCTATCTTTTCGATAAAATGATGGTGATTTTTATGAATATATGAGGCATAAAACATGAAGGTAACTTGTAAAAGGATTTTCGCCTGCATAGAAGAGGGGGGTTAGCATCGAAGGAGTGTAATAATTAGGTAGTAGGTTCTGAAGAAAGAAAGGCATGTACAGTATGAGGAATTATCTGATAGAAAAAGTAAAAGCTCTAGGTAGAAGGCAAATCATTTGTACCAAATCCTCCGCTGCTCACAAAACAGTCATACCAATTTAATGAAGTAACTTTATGTGGCTTAATAAAATGAATATATAATAAAATACTCCTACTTTTATTTACTCTGCATATTAGAGTTGACTGAAGTCAAACTTCATAAAGTTTGACCAAGTTTATAGAAAAAAATATAAACATTTATTATCATAACAAATCTATATGATGTGAAAGTACATTCAGTAATAAATCAAGCGATATTGATTTGTTATTTCTTGTATATGTTAATATTTTTGTTTATAAACTTTGTCAAAGTTTACAAAGCTTGACTTTGACTAAAGCTAATACGTGGACTAAATAAAAACGGAGGGAGTACTTACAAGCACCATCTGTGTAAGTCAAGATTCCAACATACTCACATATTGCATTACTCATGTCTACATGACCTCCTATCTAAATAGGAAAATAACTGATGGATTGGTAATGCAGAGCAACCATCTGATTTGCACCTATGGGCAGATTTTATTGACTGTTACAGTGACCCTAAAGTTTAACGACACTATTGAGTAAGTTCTCACCTGATACATCATGGACATTCTGCAAATATATGAGAGCATCAACCAGAACATATGTGATGACTGGAGGAAATTTCACAGGAAGTGCCCTTTGCGGAAAGAAAAGACATTACGTTAGCCCTCAAGGCTTCAAATAAGCGAAGAACAAGTTGCAAACTCTGTTGTACAATCAATTTAGATGGAAATGGAAACAAAAGGAAATTTCAACTAAGCAAAATCTCCAAGCATCTGTAACATGGCTGGCAAAGTAGATGTTTCTCCACAACATTATCTATATGATTTATCCCTTCTGGATAAATACAAACTGATCAAGTAAAAGGCATAAAATACTTGACATCACATTTAATAATAGGAAAAACGAAAATGAAGCACCATTGAATTGAGCCTAGATGATCTGACAAGTTTCGCCTTCTTTAGTTCCTCAATTGTTATTTTATATGCCTCACGTTTTCCGTTCCATTCTAGATGACCTGGTTTAGATCGAAATGAAGCTGAACATATATATTTGTTTGTTTCATGATTCTTCATAAAGCTGCAGTGGTCTTCAGATTCTTTGTAAGAGGTTGCGAAAGAAATACATCAAACTTTGCAGAATAATAATCCAAAAAATTAGTAATAACTATTTCAATCAGATCCTCATTTGGCGGTACATAAGCAATGCTCTCATCTCTCGGTAAGTTGTGTAATATCTTCACCGATATATATCTGATCCTAAGCATCAAAAGCGACATGTTACATGGTAATGTCATGGATATGTAAATTAAATAACTATTGCTTAACTAAAAAAACAAATGAACTTGTTATACTTCATTCTTAAAATTTAATACATACTGTAATAAAAAAATTAAAGCAAGCACTTGTAGGAAACATCTGTAAAGGCAGTCATAAGATGGATTCGGTACCAGAAAACTACAAATCACTTGCAGGAAAGGGTCAGGTAGGTGTATTTGAGACAGAATAATTGTTGAAGATACAGACTCCAAATCTGCAACCTTTAATAACTCACTCGAGTTACACATTATAAAGGTGAAGTCCATAGGTTAAATCTGAACAAAATGATTTCCCTTGTAGATAAACCGAGGAAAGTACATGGAGTATGGACATAAGATTTATCTGTCAGCAACTCCTTTTCATGTGACTATTAAAGAAAAAAAATCCTTCATTGCGCTTTTGGACCTGCAGTAACCAAAAACTATTGATCAGACAACAGTGCCCATTTTGATACTCGTGTGGGCATTAATTTGTTCACATATTTCTTTGAATAGAGAAACATTATAGTCAGGAAAAACTAATTTTTCAACTGTCATGGAGTTCTATATTAAGGCTATACGTCACTGCATCATCTTACTTCAAAGACAATGGCTCGACACACGCAGAATTTACACATGACAGCTCCTCAACATGAACTGCATCCTCCAAGAACAAAAGAACATTTGTTCTGAAAAAAAAGAACACGAGCCACCGCATCAATTCCACTACTCCAGCAGCAGGAGATGGATACCTAGCTAGTGCTACAACAGCTACTGACTATTGAAGGGGCAGATTGAGGCGACCAAAGATGCGAAGGGCCTCCAACAATCTGACTAACAACAACTACAAGAATTTTGGAGAGAAAAAACAACGACATTAGATGGAATACGAACCAGGGGGAGGAGGACGTAGGGGCACAACAGATCTGCACCAGGGAAGAAAAAAAAGCATCAACCTAGGCAAGGAGATTATATATAGGCGCATCGGAGGATGAACTAAGGAGGAGGAGAAGGCAGCGGGATTGTAACGCACATCCACCATCAGTGCTGACGAGTAACGCGCCTTCACTGCCATTATTGATTGACCCTCCAGCCGCCGCATCAGCGCCCCTTCGCATCGCCGGCTGAATCCCCCCATCACATGGCCTCCTGTTGTGTCCAGGTGGGCTCAAATAGCCCAAGCACAGCCTTGCGTTGTTTTCGCGTAGGCCCAATTCAACAACAAATCAACAATTTTGTTGCCGGAGCAGCGGCCCAGCCTGTGTAGCGCTATCCAATGGCCAGAGACGCCCAAAATTCCAAATCCGACGGCTAAAATCACTGATGGCCTGAGAGGGCTGGATTAGTGCGTGGTTTTAATGTATCTAAATAGTGTTGCATGCTCTTTTCATTTTTTTGGTGGCATATCATTGATGATCTTGCTCTGTTTGCTATCATTGATAGATGGTGCTGACTCCTCTGTTATAGTCATGATCGTCGTTCACAAATTGAACTTTGGACTATATTTTTTAGGAATGTCCTCTGATATGTTCTTCTTTTCTATCAATCCCTGTAATATTAGCTTGCTTGGTCACTTTCCTAAGAGGATCGATTAGCATTAGCTAGCCTGTACCTTGTGATGGCACTCATGGAGCTGGTTTCCCCATATCATTATTGATTCATCCTTTCATAGTAGAACATTGAATTTTGCATTTGTACCATAAAATTTTACGTTTTGTTCATCTGATCTGTATTGAGCTTGGTTGCCATCTCTCATATTGTTTTGGCGGCATACTTAGCTATGCTGGTGGTGTATCACTGATCTTCCTCTGTTTGCTATCATTGTCTTACTTGAGTCATTGATAGATGGTGCTGACTCATCTGTTATAGTCATGATTGATTGTTATTCCGCAATTGAACTTTGGATTATTTTTTAGAGATGCCCTCTGATCAAACTCTGTAATACTAGTTTGCTTGCTTTCACCTCTTGGTGCACTTTCCTAAGTAACAGGATCCAACTTTAGCATTAGCTATGGCTGTGCCTTCTGATGGCATTCATGAAGCTGGCTTTTTCACATATTATTGGCCTTTCTTTGATATTTTTTTAACGTCTTGTTCATCTGATCTGTATTCAGCAGCTTGCTTTTGCTTGGCATGTCCATAATACTATTGTTTTGGCAGCACACAACATACTAAGAAGCAACAATATAATGTCTGTGCTGTTAATTTGTGCAGGTGTTCTCAACCGCCGCTGACAACCAGACGCAAGTGGGCATCAAAGTGCTGCAAGGCGAGCGCGAGATGGCAACAGACAACAAGCTCCTGGGCGAGTTTGACCTGGTGGGCATCCCGCCGGCACCTAGGGGCACGCCGCAGGTGGAGGTGACGTTCGACATCGACGCGAACGGCATCGTGACGGTGTCGGCCAAGGACAAGGCGACGGGCAAGGAGCAGCAGATCACCATCCGGTCGTCGGGCGGGCTGTCGGAGGCGGAGATCCAGAAGATGGTCCAGGAGGCTGAGGTGCACTCGCACAAGGACCAGGAGCGCAAGGCCCTGATCGACGTTCGGAACACGGCGGACACCACCATCTACAGCGTGGAGAAGAGCCTGGGCGAGTACCGGGACAAGGTCCCCGCGGAGGTGGTGTCGGAGATCGAGGCGGCCGTCGCGGACCTCCGCGCCGAGATGGCCTCGGACGACGCCGAGAAGATCAAGGCCAAGATGGACGCGGCCAACCGGGCCGTGTCCAAGATCGGGCAGCACATGTCCGGCGGTGGCGGCGGGGCTGAGGGTGGTGAGCCAGGGTCGCAGCAGGGTGGTGGTGGTGGCGGCGACGAGGCCCCTGAGGCGGAGTACGAGGAGGTGAAGAAGTGAGAGTCTCGACTGCGTTACTTAGTTGTAGAAGAGGCAATCTTGTGATGGATGTTACTCCCTGTTACTTACTACTCATGAGATGAGAGGTCAGGCTGCGTTAGGTAGTTTTGTGGTGCTCTGCTGAAGGTGCGTGTGCATGCTGTATCTCATATAAGTTCCCTGTGTGTTTTGTAAGCTGGTAGACCGGCGAGGACGCAATGTTACCCATGACCATGAGAGATGAGAGATGATTGATGCCTGGAGGAGGTCGTGGTTGATGGATGCTTGTTGAATGTGAAGCAGCAGCGGCAGCAGCAGCTGTGTTTTGCTCTGTCAGTCCCGTTGGTTGTCGTCTTGTCAGTCACGTTGATTGGGTAGTGAGCACAAGGAACCCTTTAGCTGTGCTGTGCTGTGCTGCTCATGGACTAAAACTTTCAACTTCGTTAAAGAAGCCAATGTCTTACCTTCCAGCCTGCTAGAGCAAATATGTCGTCTACACAATGCCACCCCACTAGACTACAATATGGGTGACAAGTATTATGGATCGGAGGGAGTACACAAACAGACAAGTAATATTTTCGATAAAGGGCGTTTTTATTAGCTCATAATGTAGCATCAAGTGGATACAAAGCATAATGAGCGACATCCGGCCTCTGCATAGCTAAGATGCACACAAAAAATCTAGCAAAGTATGTATAAAAAAATGACAAGTTGGCAACAGTAAAGCCATATGAGTCCAAAACTATGCTAATGTCAACGGAGGAGGTGGACCGATCCGGAGATTATGTTGCCACCCATGTTGGGTAAAAACATTCTGGCCATCCGCTCCAATCGCATACACACCGCCTTGAACAGCGATTGATACTCCGTTCGCTGTAGCGTAGACCACATACGAAGCCAGTGCGTACAAACGGTAAATAACCTGCATAGAAGAAGAGGTTTTGCCATTAAAAACACAATCGTTTCTATATAGCCAAAGCGACCATAATAAGGCAGACGCTCCCACCCGTATTAGCGTACTAAAAGTATTTGGTATTCCTTTGAGCCAGTGGCCATATATATTGGCAACACTTGTTGGTGGATACAGTTTGGACGCTATTTGGATGACTGACCATATAAAACGCGCGAACTTGCACTAAAAGAAGAGGTGTTTAATTGTCTCGTCATGAGTACAAAAACTACACTTCTTACTTCCTTGCCAGTTGCGTTGAGCGAGGTTGTCTTTTGTTAGCACAACTCCTCTCCAAACATACCACATGAAAATCTTATTTTCTAGTGGCATCTTTGATTTCCATATTAGTTTATTATTATTCAATGGAACCTCTGAGTGCGAGAGTGCATGGTACATAGAATCAACTGTGTAGGACCCAGATGTAGTGAGATTCCAGCGAAACCATTCCTCCCTTGTGTCAAGTTAACCGAATCCAAACGAGATAAAAGATGTTGCCATGACGCAAGGCGGAGGCCAATCAAATCCCAAAAATGTATCTCGAAGCCGTCCTTTATCGCGAATGATCCAAAGCGGAATAGATGTTTCTTTACCGCCATCAGACCAGACCAAAAATGTGAGTCACCAGGTTTCCAATATGCCTGGGACAACGCTTTTTGGCCTAGATACTTATTGCGCAACAGGGTTTGCCAAACACCATCTTCGATAAGTAGCTTGAAAAGCCATTTACTGAGCAAGGCATCATTCTTAACCTGGAGGTCCTGAACACCTAAACCTCCCTGGCCTTTAGGTCGACAAACCACACTCCATTTAGTTAGCCTATACTTTTTATTTTCACTATCTCCTTGCCAAAAGAATCTGGATCTGAAGTAATCCATTCTTTGCAGAAACCCTTTGGGAATTTGGAAAAATGAGAGCATGTAGAGAACCATGTTTGTGAGAGCAGAATTCATCAAAACTAGTCGCCCTTCAACGGAGAGCAACTTGCCTTTCCAACTGCTCAACTGTTTCTCCAATCGCTCTTCAACATGTTTCCATTCTGCATTAGTGAGGCACCGATAATGAATCGGAATTCCCAAGTATTTAATCGGAAATTGGCCTTGTGCACAACCGAACAAGTCAGCATATTGTGCAGCCGCCTCCTTGGCTTCTTCGAAACAGAACAATTCGCTTTTATGGAAGTTAATTTTCAGACCTGACATTTGCTCAAAAGCTGAAAGCAATAGTTTCATATTTTTAGCCTTATCTAGGTCATGTTCCATAAAAAGAATTGTATCATCGGCATATTGCAAGATAGAATGTCTGCCATCCACAAGATGTGGCACTACTCCTGCAATTTGACCGTCTTGTTTAGCGCGTTTGATCAAAGTAGCCAACATGTCAACGACAATGTTAAATAACATTGGAGACACTGGGTCACCCTGTCGTAATCCCTTTTTCGTCTGGAAGTAATGACCTACATCATCATTGACTTTTATAGCCACACTACCTCCAGTAATGAAATTTTGGACCCAGTCGCGCCATTTATCTGAGAAACCTTTCATTCTTAGGGTCTGTTGGAGAAATAACCATTTGACTTTGTCGTATGCCTTTTCAAAGTCAATTTTAAATACTACTCCACTCATGTTCTTCTAGTGCATCTCATGGACGGTCTCGTGAAGGATCACTACTCCATCGAGTATATTTCGTCCTTGCATGAAAGCCGTTTGGGATGGTTGAACAACATGATCAGCGACCGCGTTGAGCCTATTAGTCGCAACTTTGGTGAAGATTTTGAAGCTGACATTAAGGAGGCAGATCGGTGTAAACTGTTGAATCTGTTCAGCCTCCTTAGTCTTTGGCAACAAAACAATCTCGCCAAAATTAAGCCTAGATAAGTCTAGTTGGCCGGCATGAAAAAAAATGAACAACTCCATTAGGCCAGTCTTAATGACATCCCAGAAGTTCTGACAGAACTCCGCGGGGAAACCATCAGGGCCTGGAGTTTTGCTATGTTCCATTTGGAACACCGCAGCTCGCACCTCCTCTTCAGAGAAATGTGCCGTCAGGATATCATTCTCTTCTTCTGTGACTTGTGAAATGTCATCTGTTCGGGTCTCATCTAGAGTGAAGTTCCCTTCCTCTGGAGCCCCAAACAGACACTTGTAGTATTTGGTTATATAACGCTTGAGCTCTTCTTGACTCTTGATCCGTCCCTCATCCCGTTGGAGGCTAAAAATACACTTCTTCCTATGCCGCCCATTGGCGATCATTTGGAAACATTGTGTATTGTTGTCTCCCTCCAAAATGAATTGGGCACATGATCTTCGATACCACTTGATTTCCTCTTCTCGCAATAGACGTGCAATCTGCTCATTGGATTGATTTTTCATATCAATCTCCTGTTGAGACAAAATGTGAGTCTCTGCTATTTTGTTGAGGTCATCTATAATAGTGGAAAGGCATTGCTTTTCTTTTTTATATATACCACTTGCGTGTTTGGCCCATCCAGTTAGGAACCGCCTCATGGCTCGAATTTTGAAGTTCCATCTTTGAATCGGTGTGCGACCAACGGCAGGCCTCTCCCATAAATTCTTAACTATATCCGCAAAACCATCCCGATGTAACCAGCCCAATTCAAGTTTGAATGGGCGGCAAACAGTGGGAGAACTAGTAGAGTTAGAATCAAGAATGATGGGTGCATGGTCTAAAAGTGACTCAATACGCTCTAGGGCACGCACTGTTACCATAGGGAATTTTAATTCCCATTCCGTATCCATGAGTACCCGATCGAGCTTCTCGTATGTCGGCATCAGACGGTTGTTGGCCCAAGTGAACTGTCGCCCCGACATACTAGCTTCTCAAAGATTCAAACTGTCAATTACAACGTTGAATAAGAAAGGCTAGTGTGTGTCAAAACGATCATTATTTTTCTCTTCCTGGTATCTAAGGATATTGAAGTCGCCTCCAATAAGCATTGGATGGGGGTTATCCCTAGCCAAGTTCACCAATTCCCGAAGGAAAGCGGATTTATTCTCATCTTGGGCAGCCCCATAGACTGCGAACAGGTTCCATGTATAATTGTCAGCTCTATTTCGTAGGTGGAATTTGATGTGAAATTCACCAACCGAAAAAGCTAACAAGTCCATGGTTGTGGTCTGTATCCCAAGTAAGATTCATCCGGACCTTCCACGTGGTGGTAAGCAATGCCATGTATATTCCAAACCACCTGATAGGTGATCAAAGACATGTGCACGAAAGTCACATTTACCAGCTTCGGAAATTGCCACAAAATCTAACCCATGGTCATGCACACAGTCACTGACGTGTTTATGTTTAGCCAAGTCTGAAAGACCTCTGCTATTCCAAAACATGCCTCTCATGTGGAAACTCAGGTCAGGGTGGATACTTTCGCCTTATTGGGCGGTTTTTGTTTCTTTTTTGAGGAGTGGGATTTTGATTTACCAAGGACGCGGTGAAGTCACAAAACATGGACCCAAGTCGTGCGTCATCTAATCATACCTTAGTTACCGCACCAATCAAGTGGGAGAGAAGCGGACCGTCATAAGCAGCCGCCGGTTCCTCCTCCTCGATTTTGGGGTATGGTAAGGGGCTCGAACAGACAAGTAATATGGACGAGAGGGAGTAGTAGACTGACCTCATCTAACCTGGATTCCTTAGAACAAAATTGTTAACACGCATTATCAATGGTAATACTAGCACATTATCTATCAACTGGTCGGGGCTGGGCTGGGTTGATGGATGATGACACGATGATTTTCTTCTCCAACCAGATGATGACATTATGATGTTCATACCCATTAACTAAAGCACAAGGCCGCAGAGATATGAGACCTCTTTTTTTTTTTGAAACGAGGCAAAAGATTTGCTATTTTCATTGATTAAGAAGAAGAGAGTTGTCCAATTAATTAGAGAAAAACCGGGCGAAAATCGTTACAACACGCCCACAAGAAAGGGCACCCCGGCCGACCTGGCACCAACAAAACCACACACACCTGCGAGAAGAGGGCACCGTCAAGGCTGCATGCATTGTCATCGTCATCACCTCTCCCCGAGCAAGCGACTCCGACTC